ATACGGTTTTCTTTAGTTTTAATTTGCCTAACTATCGATCTGACCCAGTAGACGCCATAATCCCAACTCTGTCTCTCTCCCGTCCCGCTTTCCGTGTGTTTTTTTTAATGGTGGGTGTTTACACAGTTGGCTAGAGCAGTGCTGATTGGGGAGAACGGAGGTGCGCTCACTCTATTGGTTAGTAAGACTGCAACTCAAGGCTGGCAGTCATGCATATGCTCTGGAACAGAGTAATATCGCGTCCACATCGCAGGCTTTGCGATTAGGAAATCGCAACGTCTCAAATCGCGATTTCGATTCGATTTATCGCACAGCCCTAATATAGAACCTTTTTGTTCATACAGGAATTCAAATCTCCTTCAAATTTAGTTTTCTCTTTAGTTTCAGTGTCAGTTTTTTTTCTTCAGGTCTTCATTCTTCAGTGCTCTTTTCTCTATTAGCTGCCCTCCCTAATGCTAATCACAATCTCCCACAGTTTCTTCTTTTTCACCCACTCCAAAAACTCCTCTTTGACTCAGTTTAATCTCAATGAAATAACTGACAAAATGTTAAAAGAAGTGATGCAAATGATCTGATTCATTAATTAATCTCAAATAAAAAAAAAAAAAACCTATCGAATATGTCAATATTGTGCAACATTTCAAGAGCTCAGGTTTTCACAAGAACACTAGAATGAATTTTAAAAAATGTACTCGCATACACACTTTATATATAAACATTTAACGTAGAAAAAAATATAAATATATAAATATATAATATATTTACATTATATATATTTAAATTTGTCCATCCACCTATTTTCCAAACAGCTCGTCTTATGTAGAGTTTTTTTGCAGGAGTTATAAAGTATGTATTATAAAACTTTGGGTAAGGGGTTTGTTAATAAATAAAAATTTTTACAAATTATTTTCTATTTATTTAGAATTTTTTTAATTCAATTAAATTAGTTAAAAATTTATTATACATACTGTTTTATATAAAATGCAGAATTACATATTATATATACTGTAGTAATTTAAAATTCAAAATAAAACTCAGTGTAGTTAAATATTTCTTACTCAACAGTAATTAGCAAATGCTCTATAATCATTTGCAAGATGGACATTTTCTATGTTATGTTGGACAAATGATACATTTAAATTGAAAAATAAAAATAAATGTAATATGAAAAAAATTATTTCATAATTTTATACACATCTGTAATATATAATACCTAATAAATTACTACTCATCTATAGCCTAATCTGTACAAAAAATGGTCAAAAATGAAACTGAGCTCTTTCCCTCTCTCTATCAGCTAAACACCAAACAAACAAATCTGCCAACAGCTCATCCTTCATTCTTGCGAGAAGGAGCTGCGACAGGAATAGTAGGAGGGCCAGTTATATCCAAGAGGCCTCTTCAACTCGCCGCTCTTCATGGGAAATTAATTAAGGACTGCGCATTTGCTCAAGAGGGGGTGTTTAATTTACATCTGGTTAAACGTGCTAAAACAAGGCCTGTTCAAATTATTGACGACATCATCATGTACATGAGGATGCGGCATCCTGTTCTCATCAAGCTGTACTTGAAGGTCTTGTTTTATTAGCATTTTCGGCCCCTGTGCAAGAAGGGGCTGAAATTGAAGATACGCCGGGGTATAATTTGTCTTTGAGTGGCTGAAGTACGTAAAACGGCAAGCGCAAGTAGGTTGTGTTTGTTCCTTGGGCTATTTTTGTAAACTTGGAAAGGTCTGAGGTAAAATAGCTAGCGTAGTGAACCAACAGCTTACACAAAACATTTTTTTTTTTTAACTGAAGTTCATTTATAAAGGTTAGATAAGATTTCACACGCCAAAAACAGGTCACATAACCATCTTTCTAGGTGGTTGTGCTACTGTACCGTTAAGACTTCTGTATTACCTCTGTTATGGCCTTTAAAGAGAGCAGACTGAAACTTGGAAGAAAAAGTTACCTGAGAGGCTGAGATGCAGACCTAGTGTGTATCTTCATGTCCTCGAGTCTGTTGGAAGAACATTAAGATGACACTGGGTTCAAGAACACACTGCATGGTTACATAATACATAATAAACTGCATCTGAAAACCCAGAAAATGGAGCTGAATGTAATGCTTGCGTTCCAAATGACTCGCAAAATGATGCGTACTACATACTCATTTTGAAAGAAATTAGTATGTAGTATGCATAATGTGCACACTATGTACATATTCAGTATGCAATTGATACCTAGATTATCTACTACATTTGCTAAACTGTGCTGTATACAAGCAGAGCACACGGTGTGGAATACTATATCCCACAATGCAATGTGCTAAACTTTATCTTCAATTTATAGTATGATAAATGAATTGAAATCAATAACCCACAACTTTTAATTGCCTTTTACAAATGATTTATGTACAGAAAAGACATTTCTAGAATAATCATATTTCTGAGGTAACATGAGGATTCTAGTTGCATACAAAGTAGTGAAGTCATGTTTAAAATGTTGAGCATACTATTTTTCTAAAAAATACATTATAAACTGCACAGTATACAATAAGCAATCAATGTAGAACTAGCATTTAAACTAAACATTTTAAACAAAATTAGTATGTAGCATGCATACTTTGCACAGTATGTGTATTTTTAGTATGCATTAAAAAACCAGATTGTCCACTACATTTGCAAACTGTGCTGTATACAAGCAGAGCACACTATATATTACTACAAAATACTGTATCTCACAATGCAATATATACAAATGACATCCTACATAAATTTCTGCATATTGACCAGGTCTCCCTGAAGAAGAGATTGTGAAGTCTCAATGGGATTCTCCTGGCTAAATAAAGGATAAATAAAAAATATATATATTTCTGAGGTAATATTTGCACAAAGTAGTGACATCATGTTTAAAATACTTTGCATACTATTTTATTAAAAACAGTACACAGTATGCATTTTACACTGCATAGCATGCAATAACCAATCTGCTAGTAGTCAAACTCAGCATTAAAACATTAAGCCATTTTTTAACTGGATTAGTATGCAGTATGCATACTGTGCACAGTGTGTTTATTTTTAGCATGCATTAAATACCCAGATCATCTAGTACTACTACTTGTTAAACTGTGAAGTATATAAACCACAATTTTCAATTGCCTTAAAAAGACTATTTCATTTAATGATTTATTAAGAATATAGAAATGGCATTTCTACATAAATTTGCATTACAAATGGATAATAATCAAATCTCTGAGGTAATAGAACTCAGCTACACCTAAATTAGTAAAGTCACATTTTAAATACTTTGTATACTATTTCTAAAAATAGTACACAGTATACATTATACACTGCATTGTATGTAATAAGCAGTATGCTAGTATTCCTTTTCAAACTAAGCATGCAAACTAAACAAATTAGTATGTAGTATGCATACTGGGCAAAGTATATGTATTTTTAGTATGCGTTATACTCAAATTATCTACTAAATGCCCTATTTGAGGTGATAACTGGACTCTGGTTGCTGAATTAAGCATGCAAAGTAGCATAAATTAGCTTAAAATGTTGTGCATACTATTTTCACAAAAACAGTACACAGTATACATGCATACACTGCATAGTAAGCAATCAGCAGTATGCTTGTGTTCCATTTCAAACTCAGGAGTCTTAAAATCAGCTATATAATAGCAGAAAGCAGAATGTTTCTTGAGGGTCCGCCTATCCTGAGGTACAGGGAAAGCATCTCTCCAAGACACCATGTTACTATGCCAACCAGCTCTGCGCCTGGTACATCAGTGCTGTGTTCTTTTGTATTTATTTCAGCTCTGTGTCTCGCATTTAAGAGTGGACTGGAAACAGTAACCGTGGCCTGGCGTCATTTAGCTCTTCACTTAGCTAATAGCTAATGGAAGTTGAAAGAGTCGTGATAAAAGGCTTCATTCAAGAACGGAAGGAACGAGTGTCATTTATGCAATGTGGCTCATCACGGTGTGTATATGGAGACCTGAATAGAAGATGCGATATCGGTCTTAGACCAGCTTTGCTTTGCTTTTTATGTCCAAGTTGAGAGTGCGGCCCAGAATAGAATACTGCATCAAGAAATGCCTCCTAACGCAATTTATAATGCAACAAGTAGAGTTGCATTCTCAGTGTGGCCACAGGGGGCGCTATTGCAGGTTGTGCTATAGTTAAACCTATTAACGATTTGATTTTCCTACAGAAGACCAAAGGAATGGCGTCTTACCTTATGGCTCCGGTGGTCGCAGACCTCGGTTGCCGTCGACCCTTTAAGGCACGCAATTTGTCTCCTTGCGTCATACCGAGATCGGTCTCTGCATAATCGTTCTATTGAGAGTTAGAGAACATGTAAACGTCTGACATAATTCCAAGGAGGTGTGAATTGATTATTTCACTTTTAATAATTACAAAGGTCTAAAATCTGATTTACAGTATGCATGCACAGTATATCGGTGACAATACGTTTTTTTAATGTTTTTTTTTGTTAATTTATATAAATATGTTTCATAATTATGTACACATTTATTTTATATTATGATGTATATTTTATATATTATTATATTTTATTTTACATAAATATACTCTATTATATTTACGTATATTTTTTCCTCAGTGTATAACAATTAAAACATTGATTTAAAGTAGTAAAATACTGATATTAAAATGTTGGCCAATATTGCTAGGGTGATAAATAAATAAAGGTAAAGGTGATACATTTTCTGGCCAGTATTTTTTTCTGGTGATAAATATTTTCATGTTATGGCTGATAACCGATAAATTGTTGATGTTAAAAGTGATAGCTCACCCAAAAATTTAAATTACCCCATGATTTACTCACCCTCAAGCCATCCTAGGTGTATATGACTCTCTTGCAATCGGAATTATATTAAAAATGTTCTGGCATTGAATGAGTGACTTTTTTTTTTTTAAGTCACTCTAAATGGGGGTTGAGATTTTGAAGCCCAAAAAAGTGCATCCATCCACAATAAAAAGTGCTCCACACGGCTCTGGGGGGTTAATTAAGGCCTTCTGAAGCGAATCAATGTGTTTATGTAAGAAAAATATCGATATTTAAAACTTTATAAACTGAACTCTCTAGCTTTTTATGATGGATGGATGCACTTTTTTGGGCTTCAAAATCTCAACCCCCATTTTCTGCCATTATAAAGCTTGGAAGAGCCAGAACATTTTTAATATAACTCTGATTGCATTCGTCTAAAAAAAGAAAGTTATATACCTAGGATGGCTTGAGGGCGAGTAAATCAATTTTATTATTTGGGTGAACCATCCCTTTAAATTTCCGTTTTTTTTTTTTTTGCCTAAATATAAATTCCACTACTCCACAAATTTGAGTTATTATTATGACTTTCTTTTTTATTTCGAATATTGATTTCAGTTACTATATATAATACTTTATAGAGAACATATACATATAACTGTAAATATATTTAATTCAATTAAAAAAAAAATGTATTTAGACAAATATACACACTAATTTAAAATTTAAACAAAAAACTACATTCGTTTTAAATGCTACAAGTGAATTTAGGCATCATAACAGTTTACATACTGAAATGAGCATAAACAATTAAATACCCATTTATCAACCACTGCAATAAATTAAAAATCCCTAATATATCGGCCGATAAATGATATGGTACTGTCAAATTATGCATCCCTAATTTAAATTTTAAAAAATGGCCCAGGAGGCCTCACCTCCTCCATACGGTCCAAGCTGTGTGATTTAAAGATGGAGGTGCTGATGGAGAGGTTGTCCATACTGGAGATGAGGTGAGGCACGGATCTGTCCTCATACTGCCGCTGCTTGGAGCGGTGAATATCTCCATGCGCCCAGAGACTCGTCTGCTTCCTGTACAGGTACAAAGAGTACAGTCCCCCATCAATGTCCTGTGCATATCTTGTTTTGCACAAATAATTCAGACGTATGGGAAGAAATCTGGTCTCAGACCGAACCATTCATTCAATGCCAATGCCAGATAACGGATACTTTGTGTCCAGCCCGCAGGAGCGGAATCTCACACGTCTCACAATGGCCTAAGGAGGAAAATATGCCTGACGATAACGTTCATCTGTCCCGCGGTGGGCATTCTCTTACGCTGCGGTCCGCAGCATCGTGTCAGCCCAACAAAACACTTGAGAGATTAGCTTCAACTGGCCTTCACATGACCAGTGCTCTGTTTTAACTCAGACATGACAGAAGTGAACCATGGTCTAGCTATATGGTGCACGAAAGGCCTTACTGATATACGCACACTGAATCAGACTCAAAGTACACTCCTTTTCCCAAGCCAGAGTTGGATGATTCAGCCAGATCTGGAACATCTGCTGACCTTCCTGATCTGCTTAGCGAAGGAGTGCGCTCTTGAAAAACACTCTTACGCTTTTGAAAATACACAACTCTGAGCCAAAGTTAGAGCACTCGTCGACATTATGTAAATGTAATGAACAATAAAAAGAGGAAAAAAAGTCTCAAGAAGGTGTGAAGAGGCCAAAAGTGGTGCATTGTGGGTAAATTTTGGGACTTACTCTTCTAGGTAATGCTGCTGGGGTCCAATAATAGAGCCGGGTCTGCAAATGCGGATCCAAGCGATGGCTTCGGCAGGCGTGAAGCGGTAGTGCTTCATCAGGTAGCAGCCAATCAGAGTCCCCGTCCGGCCCAAACCCGCTGTGATTGGTTGGAAAAAGGTCTTAGGTGTTTAAAATACATGTATTATTATATAAAATTATCTATTAAAAACTAACTGCTCTTAAAAACTAATTTTTTATGGGCTCATTCATGCAATTCTAAGGTATCTTAAGGCCACATTACCATAACATTAATGAACGTTTTGGTTCGCTTTCAGTTCCTGTGAAATCAAACTACAGAAAACCTTTTATCTTTGAGTCTGACCTCAATAATAGGGCATTTTAATGTTCAATGCTAATAAAACAAAGCCATTTTGACAACAATTATCCTCTTTTTGCACAAAATAAGTATGTCAATGAGGCGACGCTGTCATTTGTGTGGCCGTATTTCCATGTCTTTGATTTAAGTGGCGTCTCACCCTTGCAGTGAACCGCCACCGCTCCATCCGTGCTCTCACAGACGTGCAGGAAGCGGCGGGTGATGACGTCGCTGGGCGTGCTGCCGTCCACGAAGAACAGGTCGTAATGGTCGAAACCGGCATCTGTGTAATTAAATATGTAAAATATTTCACATATTATTATATATAATATGGGAAATAACAATTTAAGAAATATGTTTATTAAATACATATATTAATTTAAAATGACATATTTTGAATAAAAAAAATGTAAATATATATAATTACATTTATAATATTTCCCATATTTAAACATAATATGGAAAACAATTCTATATTTATTTAAAATGGCATTTAATATTTATATATATATAAATATTAAATACATAATATAATTCCCATATTTAGATATAATATGGGAAATAATTATTCCAAAAAATTTAAATATACAATAAACTTCCCATTAACCTGTCACAAAAAGGAAGTACATCCATACACATTCAATGAAAAAAAAAAGACTTA